ATAGAAAACATTAATCGTAGTTTAGTGTTAGATTGACATTTATATGGAGATTAAACAAGATTAAATCATTTTAGTCAAACATAAAAACTATTCCAAACTGATGCTCAATGGTTAATTTTTTTCCTGTAATCATTCTCAAGATATTTGCCGTTGGCTATGAATTTAAGACGACAGACAGCTGGCGGCCCGCGGGCCACATCTGGTCCAGGTGAATTCCGTAAGGTTCACCAATTGGATTTTTCTTCTTAATTTACTATAAAATGTTCTTAAATCAATTGTATATTTTAAATGTATGATTCAATGCTACAAAATAAACCAATTTAAAAGGTAAAAGATAATAGTTAAGCTGTTACATAATGCACTTGAGCTGCAGTGTTTTACCTGCCGTTATTGGGCAAACCTGATCAGTAGTTTCAAAAGTACATACACAGTTTGTGCTTTGGTTTAGTCTTTACAGAATTCTATTATTTTGTTTGCTTGCCAATAAGATACAATGTCATCTTAATAGTCAAAAATCTACRAGCCCCATAGTTTAAATGATTAAAAAGAGACAAACCTGTGCAATAATCTCATTATRTGCTTCCCATTTTACTTTTCTGTCCTGTGGTTTTCAAGCCCATCTGTGCATGTTTCTCGCCTCACAAAGAGAAGTCAGGATCGCAGTGGCCACTCGCTTGTTGTTCAGAATGCTGCAGAGCACCAGACTGCGTCACCCCCACATTACGGCTGCATCGCCGTGCTTGGGCTTTGGCAGTGCGTCCTGCTGGCACAGAAGCAGAATCACAGCTATGACAGCCTTATGTATCTCATTCAGCCGCAGAGAATGGGGCCAGTGAACCGAGGAGTCCCCCCCAACACTGGCCTCTGCTTGCACCTGCAAGCACAACTAACTTGCTGGAAAGATGGAGGGAAAGGTGGGAGGGGGGGAAGTGAGTTTGTTGGATTCGGTTTTAAAAATAAAGCATGAGAGTGAATTTTAATGAGTGAGGCAGTCAGTAAGATGAAAAATGGGAGAAAATGGATCAATGTAATGGCAATGTTTGTAGTAAAAGTACTTTTTAGGCTATTTGAAGTTAGCATGGAGAGAACCAGAGAACAACTAGCCACCCTGCCCGTCTTAAAGCCACTCATAAGATTTTTACAGACCTCTTTCTGCTCTTGCTTTGGTCTCAATCAATAAAACAGAAAATGAATAATAAGAGTAATAGTCACAGTGGATTATGTGCATAAATTAGAGGATTTTTTTTTTGTTTTGAACTAAAAACCTGATCAGGACTGAATAGATATTTTTCTCACTGAAACTGGTAACTTTCATCTATGTGGGTTTCAGATGTTTACAGATGTCCTCAGCTTCTGTAAAAAAAAGGAGCCCCTCACCCCAAGTGGGTCAGCCATCTTTAATCCAGCAAAGAAAACAGAGATTTGATCGACCCCTGCCTGCTTGAAGACCCTTTGGAAACCCCTCGCCCATGAGAATAGAGAATGGCGGGGGTGGGGGTGTGCTTTTCGAGGTGTGGGTTAGGCTGTGTGTAGTCATGCAGGAGGGACTGAGGACAGTCTTTGTGAATTTAGCTAATCTAATTTGAGCACTTTCCCCCYGAAGGCCCTCCTCACTGCTGCCTCTGTTTCAAACATCGGTCCAAACTGGTGAATGTTTCACGTGGTCTTGTTTAGTGTAATGCTCCCCAGAAGGGAGYGCAACTGGGAGCATCCACAGAAACAAGTGACTGTGTTTTTATTGTTTTCTTTTCTTTTACGTGTCACTTTCAAATAAAGCCAGGGAGCTGATCCACATATGTAATTTGAAGAATRYTATTCTGCAACATGAAACTTTTCAAAGTGAAACAAAATTTTAAAAGGGCTTTATGTGCATGTTTTATTAGGTTAGCTGTAAAAAGACATTAAAAGTCACCATTATTAACTGTAAACTAATTAAAACTTAATGATATTTACCAAAGGACAATTTGGAACAGAGGCCATTGTGTTCTAGCTGTTTACAGAATGTAAATGAACCCCTTAAAAGACTTTTCTTTGGTATTTCACACCTCTGATTAAGGATGCTGCTGCTTATCAGATGGGATTTACCTCATTAGTGTTTGCCTTTGAAGTAGCTCCTGAATATCATCAAGTTCTCCTAATTCTCTTTTAATGGATCTGTGAGTGGGACAGTGWTTCAAACGACATGATTAATGTGATGCCCTTTCTCACCCAATGCTTCCTCTTGTTTTGGGTGACGTGTTTGAAAAACCCGGCTGATTCGTTCAGGAAATGCGTCCGTAATGAGTGTTGAAAGTTAAATGTTACACATCTTATCAGTCTGCTGCCATCTGTAAACCTAGATCTCCCACCTCCTCTTATCTGCACTTCCTTTCCTTTTTTTTCCTCCCTGTCTCACCCCTTTTCCTTAGCTTTGTAATGTTAGTTGCCTCCCCTCTGCCCTCTTTTCTAACTTGAGGCAATGGGTGGTGAAGGGCAGGAATGCAGCCTGGGGTCTATAAGGATTTATCACACTAAGGTGCGAGCGCTCCTGTGCCTGCAGATGTAACAGTTTAGTGCCAACAGCATTCCCACCATGGAGCCAATTCAGACTTTTACAACTTTGTTTTATTCTTTGGACCACATACAATGTGGCTGTAAGGAGAAGAAATGGTGAGGAAAGGTCAATACACTTAAAGGCCCTGTTTACACATGAATGATCTCTGAAAACATCAGTTTTTTATGTTGATTGTGAGAAAGTTACACATTTCTACCATAATGCTGGTCTTGTTGATGTGACTGTAACTTCTATGCCTGGTCACTAGCTGGCACTGTGATTTTTGCGTTTCAGTGATGTGTACTTGCATGCAGACATAAATGTTGGTTTGGCCTGAGGATGAGATTGGTTGACTCATACATGTTGAATGTTTGCTATCTGCCGTCGTTACTGTGTCATTGTTAACTCTTGTGGTTCACTTGAAAATATGTTTTCTCATATGCAAGTTGTTTTTGTTGACACAAAAGGTAATTCTTTGTTGTACTGCCTCGCGAGGTAAGACACTGAGACATGCGTTTGCAAAAAAACTTGCACAAGACTTTCGTTGAGTCATCTGCAGAAGTCTGGTTAATTATCTAACTGTACAAGGTATTTTGTTGTAATTGTGTTGTAATATTCTGTAAAGTTGTAATCCATGGGGTTCTAATCATTTTATGTGTTGCTTTACAATGCATAAGACTGAAATTATTCATCTCCTAGAATCTCCAAAGTGGCATGCGGCCTCGAGACAACTTTTTGCTAAAGCATGTGTGTTAATTGTGACTCAATGAAGTGCCTAAAACCTCTGTGTTTTTATGACTGTAGTTTTCACATCGTTCAATAAACTGAAGCAAATTGTCCATCTTGAAGAAGCTGTGGCTGCGCACTCATTTTGGATCTGTTTTTCATCTTCTCAAACAAGTGCAGAAAAACTATCGACCGCAGCCGTCTGTAGTTTGTATGCACAAYGAGGTATTTCCCAAAAAYCTCCACTGAGACCTGGATTTACAAAGCTTTGATGTCAGAGAAAATGATTGTTGCTGACAAAAGACAAAAATGCAACAAAATTGCTAGTTTCCCTCACAAATTTTACTGTAACTTTCAGAAAGTGATCATTGGTTGTACTTCTGAAACTGAATCACCTTTAGAACAATTTCAAGTTTTGCCACCGTGCACCATAACTACTTAAAAAGACAGAAGAACGACATTAAGTTGAAAGGAGAAAACACTGACCTCTGTCTCTTTGTAAACCTCCTACCATTTCTGACACTCCCACTTCCGCACGTCGTCACAACAGTGCTTCAAGGAGGGGTGCTCTGTGGAACGGGAGCTCGRATGAGCTCCAGGGAGGAGCTTTGAACAAATAGGCGGGGCTTTGCACCAGCAAGTGTTTAGGCAGCTGTACATGGCTACAGGAGATTCAAGGATTTTTCAGACATGCATGGATGAGTCAAAGCAACACTCTGGGTATGTTTTAGATCAGTGGTTCCCAAACTTTTTTTTTCTGACCCACAAAATATCCATGGCAAAAACTTGTGACCCCAAATATTACTGGTCTGAGTACACGAACTTCGTTAAAAACCCAGACAGAGGCTTTTTGATAGTCTAAACAGCTTGTACACAAATATAAATACTTATTTATACTTATTTTGTGTTTTTGTAGTAGTTAAGGGGGGAAATATTACATCAGTAATTATTTTATTGCCCTTTAAATTAATTTCTGGAGATTATCCAAGGTGCTTCATGACCCATWATTGGGTCCCATGTCCAAATTTGGGAACCAAAGTGCAGTGGTTCCCAAACTTTTCAGCTTTTGACCCACAAAATCACAGTAGCAGAGACCTGTTCCCCCAACTATTTTTGGATGATAAACATTTGTATCAGGTCAACAAAACATGGGCATAGTAACAATATTTTTATACTACATTTATCCATTTTAAATATACTAACCTCACTCATTTGAAACAACTAAGGCAAAAATATAATTCAGAAATTTTTTTCAGGACCCCACCCTGATGTTTCGGGACCCCACTTTGGGTCCCGACCCCAACTTTGGGAAACACTGTTTTAGATGAGGGACGATAAGCTCAATAAAAGTCAACTTTGCAATAATAATAATAATAACAACAATAATAATAA